CTCCCTTCCCTGGACACAAGCACGTTTTGTGCTGAAGGATGAAGGATGCCGCAGCCCCAGGAAACGTCACAACTAGGGGACCTCCTGTCCCTGGATCCCAACCACCAGCCGTCCCAACGAGGTCCAGGCAGGGGGTGGGAGAGCAGGGAGCCGGTGCCAGGCTGCGAGGAGGGCCCCTGACTCTGCTTCAGGGGTTGAGACCCGACTGGAATCCTGGACCCACCTTTGCTTTTTACTGATGATACGTTTGAGCATCAGAGCAGTTTTTTTCATCCAGATCTCAGGAGGTGGCCCAGTACCTCGAGTAGACGAAGGTGGGGCTGCTCTCCCTGGCCCTGGCAGGGCATCCCGGGGTTCAGGGAACAGGGTTTGAAAACCATAGCTGCAGGTAGAGGGAACCAGTGCAAATGGAAACGGGCGTGACATCGGTCAGAGTCCTGCTTTGCACAGTGTAAAGGGCAGTGGCAGGCTGGGTGCAGCTTTGTAGGGCTCCCAGTAGGAGTCAGCCGGTCAGGTCAATGGGGCAGTGGCAGGAAGCCCGGGGAGGAGGCATTTCAGGAGGCAGAGAAACCACTGTGTTGGGAGGACCCTGTCCCAGGGGGCAGCCTGACCCTGGCTGCAGGGGCGAAGACTGAGGGCCAGGGGACTGGAGAGCAGTGTCCCTCCCAGAGGGGCCCAGACACTCAAGATTCCCTGGCAAGCTCGACTTAGATGTTGTGATTTTCAAGCAAACGTAATTTTGTGTGTCTGTTCTTATGAGGTAATTGCAGAAGAGATCATTAAAACAACTGCATGTCTTCAGTAGTGAGGCTGGGCCAAAGGATGGTGTTTGGTTTTTAATCATGGACTTTTGGCCCAGTTCACAGCAGCCCCGGTCCCCCTGCCCTACTTAATCTTGGGGACAAGCTGCAGTTCCTGCTAGCTGGCAACACAGAAAAATGCACTGTGTTTAAGACTGCGAGGAAGGCACAGTTCAGTAAAGTAGGCGTTTCTTCATGAGAACATTTATTTTGCACGTGGACGGATTGCCCAAAAGTATTGGACATTTCTGCTTTTCAGAGTACTGTTATTTGCATAGAGAAGGGGAAGAAAATTGGCAGAGGTCTTGAGGCATTAGCAGAAACTGCCTGTCGTTCGCTGCTGTTTGATTAGGCGGTGGAGTTGGACAGGGAAGTACTTGCAAGTTATAAAATAAAAAATTGCAAGTATGGAAATTCTGTGAAGACCTTCTTTCCAGCAAAATCGCCCTCTTGGGACAGGTCAGGCTGGCTGGTGGGGGGCATCAACACACACTGCCTTTCCCACTGAAACATGGTTTCACCACGTTTTGTAACCTTGGTGTGGAGCTGCCCTGGCAGTTTGTATTTTATATATATAAGGGAATGGCGATAAAAAAAGAAATACATCTCTGTGGTAACAGACATTTAACCTCTAACCTGGTAGAACACAAGGCCCCTCCTGTGGCCCACATTTCACCCCGGGGGAGGTGGGTTGCAGATGGAAGGGCTAGTGCCAAGCTTCCTGGCCATGACACCAGTGGGTCCAGTGAGCCTTGGTTTTGCCCGAGCAGTCCGCTTTTTCTGCACGGAGCATGTATTGTTTGTGATCAGGAAGACACCAAGGCACAGGGACCCAGTGTGGGCAGTTAAAACCCATGACCTGGTCTGCTGGTCGACACTCTAACTACTGAGCCAAACCGGCCAGGGAGGAAATATGTTCTTTTAATGATACCGTTGAGCATTATCATTGTGGAGGCCACTGACAAAGTCTTTTCAGTTCTCAGGTACAGTCGAGGGTCTGCCCCAGGGGCCGTGTGGTGACCGGACAGACAGCGCCCCTGTCTGGGGGACGCAGGCTCCATGGGGGGCTGGCAGCAACCCTGCCTGAGCAGGGAAGGCGGCCAGGGGTCATGTGGCGGGTATCGGGTTGGGAGTGTCAACCGAAGTTTGTCACCACCAGTTCAAAGCCGACAGGAGTCCCCTGTTGTGCAGCATCTCGCCTGTGAGACAGCTCAGGCATGAAACAGGTCGTGAGGGGCTCAGGGGAGGCCTGTCAGGTGTTACTGGTCACCCTGGGCAAAGGCAGCTGAGAGTGGCTCCCGGAGGCAGAGGGGAAGCTGGCTTATATGAGAAGAGGGCCTGCCTCTGGTCCCTGATTGGTCCATTTCTATGCAAATGAGAACTCCCAATTTGCATAGGTTGCTTGGTCCAAATAACACTGTCCTGATTGGTCTGTAAAGATGCAAATAAGGATATAGTTGTGCAGCTCCAATTGGACCTGGCGAGCCTTTAGCCCATTGGTTGAATTTCAGTCCTAGTAGCTCCCTTATAAGGGTGGCTCAGCCGCGAGACCACAGTGCAGGGGCCTGGCAGCTTAGTCTGTGGCTTTTCCCTGAAATGCAGCGAGCACCGGAGGCCTCCGTAAGCAGGGACTGCTAGACTCTGGTTATGAATTTGGCCCCAACTGACCACAAGGAGTCCTTCTGGGCAGGTGTATTCCTGTAGTTTGAGCACCCAGGGGTGCTCCCAAGTCTCTCGATTCTATGCATGTTCCACAAATACGTATTCGTTCAGTCTCTGCCTCAGCCCTGTTAAGAAAACTTTGAAGAGTCAGCTCTGAACCCAACACTACAAAGTATATTTTCTGATTTACCTACAAAAAGTATTGCTATTTCTTTGCTCCCCATTTTTTTATTGTGGTAAAACATACATAACAGAATATTGACCATTTTAACCATTTTTAGATGTACAGTTCAGTGGCACTGAGTGCGTTCACGTTGTGGTGCGGCCATGTCTCCAGAACCTTTCCTGTCTCCCACGTGGAAACTGTACCTATTAAACACTAACTCCCATTCCCGCCTCCTCCCAGCCCTGGCAACCATTGTCCTGCTTTCTCTTTGTGAATGTAACTGCTCTCAGTGGGATCATACAGTACAGCTGACATTTGAACAAAGCAGGATCAGGGCTGCCGACCCGCTTGCGGTTGAAAGTCGAGGCATAACTCAGATCGGCCTCCGCATAGAAGTGGACGTGCACAGTCCGAACCCGTGTTGCTCAGGGTCGACTGTGTTTGTTCTTTTGCGTCTGGCTTATTTCACGGAGCATAAGGTCCTTAAGGTTCGAGGTTCATCTGTGTTGTAGCATGTGTCAGAATTTCCTTCCTTTTTAAGGCTGAGTAATATTTTATCGTGGTTATGTACCCCATAAATACTGCCTTTTTTGTTGTTGTTAATCCTCAGCTGAGGATATTTTTTCCATTGATTTTTAGAGAGAGTGTATGGGTGGGGGGGGGAGAGAAACACCAATGTGAGAGAGAGACATCGATCAGTTGTCTTCCGCTCAGCCCCGACTGAGGCCGGGGATCAAACCTGCGACACTTCTGTGTATGGTTTGGGACAATGCTCTAACCAGTGAGCAACAATGGCCAGGGCCATAAATATTGCTATGTTTATGCAAAGAAAAGTGTCTTTAACCACTGATTTGAAATCAGTTGAGCGTTGGACATTTTCCCTTAGCCTTTCTGCCACCCCCCGGCACTGCCTCTTCCTCCACTATGGGTGGTCTCTGCTCCTCCTGGGCAGAGATGAGAAGGGAAGGAGGGTCCTGTGGGCTCTGGGTGTGAGGCCAGGATCACTTGGGCTGTGTGGCTGTCCCACAGTGGTTGGCCTAACCTGTTTTTTCATTGACCAATGCGAGGGGACACGTAGGAACTTTATGGGCTCCCAGGCCACTCCTGACATAGCCTGGGCTTGGGCCATAGAAAGGGCTGAGAGTGGGACTCAGGGCTGGATCCCCAGGAGGCATGTCACCTGGCAGCCTGGGCCCTTGGAGGCCGCCTGCTTTGAGGTGTCCTAAATGGGCACCACTGGAGCTCCCCAGGCTGGCTCATCAGGGCAGTAGCCAAGGCCACTGGCCTTGTGCTCTCACTATCCTGGGCTTCCCCTCTGTTTAGTGTGTGGAACGGGAAGTCGTGATGCTTGAAGGAAGTTGGTAACGAAAGAAAAAGGCTGTCTTCCTTTTTTCAAAAATACCAAGTATTTTGAAAAATATTTGCTCCATTTTAAGTTAGAAAGATGCCGAACAGATCTGTTGCCAGGAGGAGTGTTCTCTAAATGCCAGTTAGGTCCATGTGGCCCAGCTGCGCTCAGTTCTGGGCTCCTGCTGATCACCAGGTGTGAGGCCAGGGTCACTTGGGCTGTGTGGCTGTCCCGTGGTGGTTGGCCCAACCTGTTTTCACAGAATCGTTGCAGTTCCTCCTGCTCTTACAGATTTCCTTCTTCTTTCTGTCCCTGTCTGCTTGGTGTGGTTTGGGGCGCCCTTGCTCAGCGCATCCACATTTAGCATTGCTCTGTCTCCCTGGTGACTGACCTGCTGTCATTGTGCAATGTGCCTCCTGACCCCTGGTAACTTCTTTGCTCTGGAGTTGACTGCTCACATGGCCACTCCAGCTGCCTTTTAACTTGAATGGTTCACCTCTTACTTTCAACCAACTGTGTCACTGTATTTGAAGTGTGTTTCTTATAGCTGCATGTACAGCCACACGTCACACAACGTTTCTGTCAACTGTGGACCACGTATACGACGTGGTTCCATAAAGTTACAATGGAGCTGAAAGATTCCTGTCACCCAGTGACGTGGGAATGTGGTAGTGCAAGGCAATGCTGATGTGTCCGTGGGGACACTCTCAGCAACCCGTGAGCTGCCACGCAGTCCAGTGTTCAGTGGTTGTACCATCCAGGTGTGTACGTGCTCTGATGTTCACACTGTAACAGAAGCACCTAAGGACTCTTCTCAGAGCCTGTCTTTTTTTTTTTTTTGTACTCTTCACCTGAGGATATTTTTTCCATTGCTTTTCAGAGAGTGGAAGGGGAAGAGACAGACAGACAGACAGACATAGATGTGAGAGAGACACATCGATTGGCTGGCAGAGTTCAAGCCTGTAACCGAGGTATGTGCCTTTGGCCGGAATCAAACCCAGGACCCTTCAGTCCTCAGGCCGGCACTCGAATCACTGAGCCACACCGGCCAGGGCTCAGAGCATATCTTTAAGCAGCACAGGACTGTAGTTGGGTCAGGTTTTTTTATCTTTTCTGACAATCTGTCTTTTAATCATGGTGTTTAGACTATTATATGTTTGCATTTATTTCTACAGATCATTTTATTATTTGATTCCTGTTAGATAACCCACCCCCTTTGGCTTGCAAACAATAGAATTTTATTTTTCACAGTTCCCAAGGCTTAGACGGCTGAGGTCAGACTGTGTCAAGGTGGCAGTGTGGTCGGGTTCTGTTGAGGCCTGTGATATTGTGATTTATAATAAATATATCTTTGGTCTTTGTCGTTTATGATAGAGAGCTCCTAAAACCTTTGGAATTTACTTAGTGATAAGAGCAATAAAGGTGTCTTAATATTGTTAACAAACCACACCTGAGTTGACTGAAGGGACTTTTGGAAAGCCCTCCCTAAGACTGGGGGCTGGTTGCCAGGAGACCTAATCCTGTGGTGGGAGGTTTTCAACTTTCAGTCCCACCTCCTGATCTTAGGGAGGGGGAGGGGCTGGAGGTTGACTCCCTTGCCAATGGCCAGTGATCTAATCAGTCATAGCTAAGTAAGGAAGCCTCCATGAAACCCAGATGGACAGGCTCATTTGGAGAGTTTCTGGGTTGATGGGCACATGGGTGTTTGGGAAGCCTGTGGCACTCATGCCCACTCATTATCCATCCCCCAGATGCTCTGTGCCTCTCTTCCATCTGGCTGTTCCTGTATAATAAACCGGTCATCTGTTATGAAATATTAAGTAAGCAAAATGTTTCTCTCAGTTCTATGAGCCTCTCTAGCAAACTAAGTGAACCCAAGGAGGGGGTTATGGGAACCTCTGATTTGTAGCCTGTCAGTCAAAAGTGCGGGTAACAACCTGTAACTTGCACCTGGTCCCCGAAATGGGGGCGGGGGAGAGTCTTGAGGGACTGAGCCTTAACCTGTGGGATCTGACACTATGTGCAGGTAGACAGTGTCAGAATTGAGTTAAACTGTAGGGCAGCCAGCTGGTGTGTGGGAATTGCTTGCTGGTGAGGGGGAGACTCCACACTGGAATTGGTGACAGACTAGAGGGCCCCCTTCTGGGTTGCAGACACCAGCTTCTCACTGTGTCCTCATGTGGCAGCAAGAGGATCCTTATTTTTTTATTGCTCTTTCCCTTTCCTGCCTTCTTTTCGGTTATTTGGACACTTTTAGTGTTCCATTTTAATTTAGTCTTTATGATTTTATAAGTTATTTTGCTTTGTATAGCTGGTTCTTTTTGTTTGTTTTTTGTTTTTTTTGTGTGTGGTTGCTCTAGGTATTATAAAGTATATGCTTAACTTTTTGGTCTACTTAGAACTGTCACTGGGAAGGGCCTGGCACCGAACAGCTCTGCCCCAGTATGGTCTGGAATGTGTGGGTTCTTATTTTTTTAATCCTCACCTGAGGGTATTTTTTCCATTGCTTTTCAGAGAGAGTGGGGTGGGGAGAGAGAGAAACATTGATGTGAGAGACACAAATCGGCCGGTTGCCTCCTGCATGTGACCCTTCAGGGCCGGGGATTGAGCCTGCAACTGAGGCACATGCCCCTGCCCAGAATTGAACCTGGGACCCTTCAGTCCATGGGCTGATGCTCTAACCACTGAGCCAAGCCAGCTAGAGCTGGAATGCGTGGGTTCTTAACTTTGTGCAGGAAAGATTTCATGACACAAGTCCAGGTGATTTTGAGAGTACGCTTATTAAAGCTGTGGACAGTGAAAGGAGGGAAGGTCTTTGGATAGAAGATGCAAGATCTTAACAACAGGAGGGAGCCTAGGTGGAGCTGCTTTTTGGCTCACTGAAAAGTTAGGCAAAAGGAGGGTACTTGGAGACAGGTTCAGGGGGTTAGCCCAGGATGAGATGCCCACTGCTCCCCTGGTTGCAGCTCTTATAGAGACCCTTAGAACTTAGGAGAAAGAAAGCAAACATACACGCCAGAGGAAAGAAGGGGGAAAGGCATGGGCGTGCTCAAGGGAGAACCTGTACTGGGTCCTTTGTCTTAAGTGTTTTTATCTGTTTTCTAAAGGTGGGAATTTTAGGGGAGGTCTCCGGGGAGGATGTCAATAAGATATTCATCAGCTTCCCAGGTGATGAATATGCTGATTCATCAAAATGAGCATATAGCGGGGTCAGGGTCATTCTCTGGTCAGTTTTACTTTCAAAGAATGTCACCGAAGAGGGACTAGGACTGAGGTGGGTCTACTCCTGGCATGGGAATGTGTAAACCATTTGCTCCCGAGTGTCCTTGGTTAGAGAAGATGAGACTTTGCAGTTTATTAGCTGGCTGTAGATTGCTCGGCCTTGTTTAACTGTCTGTCTCAGTTTCCCCATTCCAGTTGCCAAGGAATTTTCCTAGCTTCTTACTGTCCTGCCTCAGAACCAATATCTCACTACTTCAGGTGGAATGCACAAACCTTACCACCTTATAGGTCTTTGCCTTCCCCTTTTATGTGATAGTTGCCTTATATATTACATTTACATACACTGATGACCCCATCAGACAGTGCTCTAATTTTTGCTTTCGGCACCAAACATTCTTTAAACAGCTCTAGAGGAAATGGTCTATTCTGTTTATTCACTTGTACCCTTTCTATTGATTTTCCTTGGTCCTTCAAGTCCTAAGTTTCCTTCTGGTATCATTTCCCTTCTCTCTGAGGAACTTTTGTTAATGTCTGTGTTTCTTCTTCATTCCCAAAGGACATCTTTCCTTGACATAGGATTCTGGGTTGACAGTTGTTTCTTTCACACTTAAGAAGTGTCATTCCACTTCCTAAGATGTCCTGTTCCCAAGGAGAAATCTACAGACATTCAAATTCTTGTGGGTGGTGAGTCATTTTTCTCTGTCTGTTTTATGTACATGTATATGTTCTTTAGTTTTCAGCAGTTTGGCTGTGATGTGTCTGAGTGTGGATTTCTTTAGCTTTATCATATTTGGGGTCTGTTGAGCTTCTTGAATCTATAGATGAACATCTGTCGCATTTGGTAAGTTTTTGGTCATGGCTTTCAGCTCTTTTTCAGTGCTGCCCACTTTCTGCTCTTCTCTCACTCTGATGACGCAAATGTTAGACCCTTCTTCTTGTCCCAAAGATCCCTAGTCTCTTCTTCTTTCAATCCTGTGTCTCTCTGTTGTTCAGATCAGATCATGTCTATTGTTTTATCTTCAGGTTCACGGAATCTTTCCTCTGCTCTTGAGCAAATGTAGGCAGTTTTTCAAATTTTTGAAATTTTGCCCTGGCTGCTGTTTCTCTGTGGTTATAGAGCGTCGACCTGCTCATCGAAAGGCTGTGGGTCCAATTCCTGGTCAAAGGGCACGGACCTGGGTTACAGGTTTGATTCCTGGACCAGGTCAGGTGTGTGCAGGAGGCAACCGATTGAAGTGTCTCTCTCACATCAATGATTCTCTCTCTCTCACTCTCCCCCCTCTCTTCCCCTCTCCCTCTGTGCCCCCCTTCCACTCTCTCTAAAAAAATCAATGGAGCCCTGGCTGGTTTGCTCAGTGGTTAGAGCGTCGGCCCATGGACTGAAGGGTCCTAGGTTTGATTATGGCCTAAGGCACGTACCTCAGTCACAGGCTCCATCCCTGGTCCTGTTGGGGCCGGTGCGGGAGGCAACCAATCGATGTATCTCTCTCACATCAGTGTTTCTTTCTTTCTCTACCCCCCCCTTTCACTCTCTCTGAAAATCAATGGAAAAGATATCCTTGGGTTAGGGTTAACAACAACAAAAACCCCACTAAAATTTCTAAAATTTCCATTTGGGTTTTTATATAATGAGACATTTTTTTGGCTCACCTTCAGTATTTTCTTTCAGTTTGGGAGTTTTATCATTGAGCATTTTTATGATTTAAAGCCTGGCATGTAACTGTAACATCTGAGTTATTTCAGTGCTGTCTCATGTCCTTTTGCTGTAGGAGTTATGACGCTCCTGGTTGTTTGTGTGCTGACTGGGCGTTTTGGCTATTATGATATGAGACTGGGTCTTGTTTAAATCCTAGGAGAATGCTGATTTTTAGTTTTAGCGGGCAAACAACTGAGTTCGACTTAGGCTATGGTCCTGACCTGCCTTCTGTGGGTTGTGATGGTGTCAGTTCTGTTCTTGGAGCCTCCGAGGTGCCATTGGACCTGTGCTGTGCCTGCTGCCCACAGCCATCTGGGACCTGACTGTGGTCTCCGGGATTGGGGTGTGGGAGGATCAGGTCCACCCATGTTCAGCTTGTGGGTGGGCCTCCCATGTGTACTTGGTCTTCTGAGCCCCTTTCTCTCCTCACTGCCCCAGGCTTTCTGGTGCCCTGAGGTTCCCTTTTTGCTTCACCCAGCACCCCGGGGGCTTTGGGAACCCTCCCCACCATGAACCTCCACACCTGTGTCTCGCCTGGGGCCCAGTGCTGGGAGGAGGGGTGGGTGCCTCTTCCATTTAGTGTTCCCGTCCAGCCCGCCTGTTGCTCTTTCCTTCTCAGAACACATGTAGTGGCCCCTTGTCCCATCGGGGTTGGGGCTGCCCCATATGTCCTGTCTGGAGCAGAACTACTCTCTGTGTCCTGTTGGGGGTTGGAGCAGCATTCAGCAGGAGGCAGGATGCAGTGTGCGGAGTCCTGTCCCCTGGAACTGGCACACGTGCTGAGATGACTTCCGGCTCCATGTCTGTGCTGCTCCACGCGGCCTCAGACTTGTGGCCTGCTAACAGCCCCTCCCTGTGTCATCGGAGCCCTCACCCTCACCTCAGTAGTCTGACCCTGCAGGCCGACCCTGTTCTGGGAGTCCCTAGCGTTTCCCCACAGCACAGGTGGCTTCGTATTGTGTTCTAGGCCAGGATGGCGGCCCAGGTGACCCTGGAGGACGCGCTGTCCAACGTGGACCTCCTGGAAGAGCTGCCTCTGCCCGACCAGCAGCCCTGCATCGAGCCCCCGCCGTCCTCGCTGCTCTACCAGGTGGGTGCTGGGTGACCATGGGCAGGCTGCCTGGGACGCTGAGCTCCACGTGATGGTTTTTCTCTTCTTTTTAGCCGAATTTCAACACTAACTTTGAAGACAGAAATGCATTTGTCACCGGCATTGCAAGATACATTGAACAAGCGACCGTCCACTCCAGCATGGTAATCACGACGGCTTTGCTCTCAGTGGGGGTGGGGGCACATCTAGTGGCAACTGTACCCTTTTTTGGTACTATCCTGATGGGATGCCTATTGAGGAGAAAGAAGACTGAATGAAATGCTTCGTTTATTTGTTGTTGTCTTAAAAGCCTTTGTTTTTCTTATTATAAAACAAAACATGGTCTTTCTGAAAATTTAGCGTCTATGGCCCAGAGAAAGCCTTTGTCGGCATTTCAAGGAAGCCCCTTTTCTCTCTCAGGCACGTACGCATGCACCCCTTCTGGCATTGACTGTAAATGAAGTGCAGTGTTAAACTTGCGTATTTTTATGATTTTACAAACATTTTGTAAATGTCAACAATTGAACTTTTTTTTAATCCTCCCCCGAAAACATATTTATTGATTTTTAGAGAGGGGGGGAGACGGAGAGAGAGAAGAAAACAACACATGTATGTGAGAGAGAAACATTGATGAGCCGCCTCCCGTACACGCCCCAACTGGGGATCGAACCCACAACCGGGTATGTGCCCTGACTGGGAATCGAACCCCCGACCTTTTGGTGCCCAACCAACCGAGTCACACTGACCAGGGCTGATTTAACTATTTTTGCATGTTTACTTAGTTTCCCTCTGTCTTACAATAAAAAATGCTGTATGCTGTAATGAACACCTTTCTAAATACATAGTTGTTGCCTTTGGCTAGATTTGTAGAAGTGGAGTTACTGGGTCAAAGGCTGTGAACATTTTAAAGTCAATTTAAATGTCAGTCATAGTTGACATTTACAAGAACATCTATGCAATTCTTTTACCATTTTTACTGGAGGAAACAATGGGGAAGGAGTAGACACTAGGGCAGTTTTAAAATGATGGTGATCCTCTCTTCACGGATGCACCCCCTGGATGCCAGGTGCTGTGGAAACACTGCTTAGCTTTTCCTCCGTAGCCTGGTGGAGCCATGGGATGTCATGTGATGTCTGTCTGTGGGCATCCCAGCTGCAGTTCCCCTGCGCCACCCCTAACTTCAGGTCTGCATTGCCCTCGGTTGTTGGGGCTGAGTGGGGCTAAGGCGTAGCAGCTGTGCCAGATGTGCTGGGCCGTGTTGGCCTGGCGCAGAGGTGCCTGAATGTCGCTGACACCCCTCTCCAGCCTGCAGTACCCAGGGCGTGTTTCGGGGGGTCGTCAGGGCCTCGCCGCTGCATCACTGCGTCCCCTCACCATGTCACCAGCCTCACCAGCTTCTTAACAGCTTTTACTTAGCAGGCACATCCTGGTGCTTGTCCCTAAAAGGCAGAGTCTGCATAGTTTGTGCCAGTAGATTTTAGCAGTTTGGCATCTCTTGTGTTAGGATTGTTCCCCTGCTTGCCTTAGATTTGCCCTATGTAACCCTGCAGAATGAGATGCTGGAGGAGGGCCAAACGTACGCGGTCATGCTGTACACCTGGAGGAGCTGCTCTCGCGCCATCCCGCAGGTACCCTGTCACCCGGCTCCGCCCAGCCAGACCGAGTCCCCGCCCAGCAAGGCCACGCCCACAGCCCCGCCCAGCAAGGCCACGCCCCAGCCCAACAAGGCCACGCCCACAGCACGCCCAGCCCAACAAGGCCACGCCCCACAGCTCCGCCAAAGCCCAGCGAGGCCACGCCCCCACCACAGCTCCGCCCAATGCGCCAAGGCCACGCCCCCACCACGACTCCGCCCAGCCCAGCAAGGCCATGCCCCCCACTGCTCCACCCATCCATCAAGGCCACGCCCCCACCACGGCTCCACCCAGCAAAGGCCACGCCCCACCACAGCTCCGCCCCAGACCACG